CATATCTTGCCATTTCTAGGAAACCAAAATAATTCTTGTATCCGTTTGTGTTTGAGTTCACACGGTAAAGTATAGTCTTAGAATTTTGTTATCTGGTGCGTGGCTTCTGTATTGTTGTTTTGACAAGGATGTGCAATTTCGGCTGCAATATTCTATTACAGGAATTTGTACTAGTGTGTTCCATTGTTAGAGCGAATGAGACGATATGAAACTGAGATGCACAATTTTGCAATGTTAATTGGCATGGATGATTAATTTAAGTTTTACAATCGAGATTTTATCAAATAAATCTTGGATGCAGTCAACAAAATTCTGAAATGAATTCATTTTATAGTTTTCTCTTGCAAGGAAGAACTGCTAATCTGGAATTGGTACTTTGAAAATATTAAGAAGAGAAATTAGTTTGGGAATATCATTTTTTAGATCCTTAGCTTTCATATGTCATCGGATAGCAGCATTCTAATGTCTTAGTTGTTTCATGGATTAGTGACATTCTAGTATAGTGGGTTAGATGTTGAAGGTCAGCCATTATATTTGGAGGGTATATTATGTGAACCTGAGTGTACATATCCCTTTTGTGATTTGAAATGAATCGCTCATGCAATTGGTGATTAACTTTTCCAGCTGTTTTATGTATGATGATAGGTATTGACACCATACAAGAAGAAGAAATATGTGTGGAAAATGCTTTATATACACATGCTGGGTTACGATGTGGATTTTGGTCATATGGAGGCGGTTTCTCTTATATCTGCACCAAAGTATCCTGAAAAGCAGGTATACCAAGCTCCTTTCATTTACTTAAACAATCAACTATTGCTCTTTAGATAGGAAAGGGAAATATGCAGGGGTACTTGTTTGACTACGAATATATACTGTCAAGCTGGAATAAACCAAAARTTCAATTAATTATTGTAGAAAGCTAGATATTTAAGAGCTATAGTTGTGATTTATTTCACGTCAAATGCTAGGTACACTGGCAGTTTATTATGTAGATAATGATATCATGGGGTTGCAATTCTCTCTACAAATTCATTGTATCTTTTTGTTTCCCAAAGATTTTATTTGCAGTTTTTATATTTCTTGCTGGTAAACTGACTTCAAGCTTTTATCCATGAATAAAGGTCGGTTACATTGTCACATCGTGCTTGCTCAATGAAAATCATGATTTCTTGAGGTTAGCAATTAATGCAGTCCGAAACGATATTATTGGACGTAATGAGACTTTCCAGTGCCTGGCATTGACTTTGGTAAGTGCTCTTTCATTGATAATCTGTTGATGTCTGAGATTCTTTCTGCTGATGAGATGTAGTTTACAATTTCAAAGGATGGTCAATTCGTATATTATGTGCATCATGCTTGTTATTTAGGTTTTTGACGCCATTTGCTTCATTAAATGATGCATCCTTTTGTAGCTCTTTTTACCATCCTGTGTTCAATTTCCTCCATAGGTTGGAAATATTGGTGGACGAGAATTTGCAGAGTCGTTATCACCTGATGTTCAAAAGTTACTAGTAAGTGTTTCGATAATGTTACATGTCTTCCATATGATGAGTACTTAACAATTGATCTAATGGGCTTGTTTTCTTCAGATTTCTAGCAGTTGCAGGCCTCTTGTAAGGAAAAAGGCTGCACTTTGCCTGCTGCGCTTGTTCAGGAAAAATCCTGACGTTGTCAATGCTGATGGCTGGTATGTATTAAAACAGTCTGGTGTTTCTGTTTGTTTCAGTTTATAGGTTTGTCTTTTCTGTACCCTCATTTTCGTATACTTACAGGGCAGATCGTATGGCACAACTTTTGGATGAACGTGATCTTGGTGTCTTGACATCTTCTATGAGTCTTCTTGTATCTTTGGTATCCAATGACTATGAGGGGTATTCCAGTTGTCTACCCAAATGTGTCAAAACATTAGAACGCCTTGCTAGGAATCAGGATGTTCCTCAGGAGTACACATACTATGGTATCCCATCTCCTTGGCTCCAGGTTTGTCTTAACTCGCTTTACAGATTCTTTTTCACTATAGCCTATCGCCCTCCATTCCCTGCATCCTTACATTTTAGGTGAAATAACTTTTGAAGTGGAGGCATGTACCATTTTGATGTATATGTGTGGTTCTTTTGAGGGTTATCTTGGATGCTTATATGTCCTTTTGGTTAGTATAGGTGAAAACGATGAGGGCTCTTCAGTACTTTCCGACTATTGAAGATCCCAGCACCAGAAGATCTCTCTTTGAGGTTCAATTTCTTCCAAGAAACTTTCTGATATACGTTGTTTAGTTCGGCCTCATAACATTTGCTATGGAAATTTTAGGTCCTACAACGGATATTGATGGGGACAGATGTTGTAAAAAATGTGAATAAGAATAATGCGTCTCATGCTGTGCTCTTTGAAGCTCTATCTTTGGTAAGATTGCCAGACAGATATTTATCAGCAAGTTTATGCCTAGAACTTTATTGATGCAACAATATTCCCCCATCTCCTTTGCACGTCTCATCTCCTTGATGCCATATTGCCATACAAAAACAGAATGTTGGCTTGTGCTTGGACATTATCCTTATGATTCTTTTTTTGTTAATGGCTAGTTTTTAAATATTGGTAAATTACTTTCGTGCATGTCTATCTATCTTTTACCTACTTTGGCGTGCTTTTAGTAAATACTCTGCTTAAAAGTTCAATGCTATTTCTAAGTGGTTTATCAGGAAGAGAATCAGGAAGAGATGATTTGAGTGTGTTCTCAACTCTTTGCCTTGGTGAGAAGTATTTTAACCTGTCAAACTGTGGTTCGCTGTAGGTCATGCATCTCAATGCTGAGAAGGAAATGATGTCACAGTGTGTTGCTCTCCTTGGAAAATTTATTTCTGTACGTGAGCCCAACATCAGATATCTAGGCTTGGTGAGTTTTTATATAATGGTTTCCTGCTTGTAAAGCCTAGCTGGAACTATGTGTACTGTTTGTGGTGGATCATGTGATTTGTATGTTGGTAGTTCATCAATTAGTTGGCCATAATTATGCATCTCTTGCAAACACTGCAGGAGAATATGACACGAATGCTGATGATCACAGATGCCCAAGATATCATAAAAAAGCACCAGCCTCAAATAATCACCTCTTTGAAAGACCCTGATATCAGGTTAGTTTATATTTTACTATATCAATATATGCTATTGGTTGTGAACCAAGGCTGCCATCTCTGGTGATCAAATTTGGAAGTTGTGTAGAGAAGGATGTGTACAAATATACTTGTCTATGTAGAGACGGATATCCGACTTCCCTGTTCCTGCCTGTTAGAGAGAAAAATAATGGATAGTCATTTGATCCAATATTTTTCCCATATTTATTTGGATTTATATCTATATATGTTGCCTCTTGTGCTCTTATTATCAAGTTTACTGATTAGTTCAGTTTCCCTGCAGTATTCGTAGGCGAGCACTTGATCTGCTTTATGGAATGTGTGATGTGTCAAATGCAAAGGGAATAGTCGAAGAGCTGTTACAGGTAGTTCTTTTAAAGATCAATCTTTTCCTTACCTATAGTTTCCTCTTACATGTGATTATTTAATAGAAGATTTAATTCTGATGGTGTTCAAGTTTACTCAGTACGTAAAATATATTGCAGTATCTAAGCACAGCTGAGTTTGGCATGCGTGAGGAGTTATCACTTAAAGCTGCTATTCTCGCTGAGAAATTTGCTCCTGATCTATCGTGGTAACGATTAATTTGCTCGCTGAGAAATTTGCTTTTGAGATGCACACTATAACAATATCATGCATTAACCAATTGTTATGAATTAGATAAGTTATGACACGATATATCTGATCAATCTTTTGCTACACAACATGGTTCCTTTGATGTCCATTAGGTATGTAGATGTGATCCTTCAGTTGATTGATAAGGCGGGAGATTTTGTTAGTGATGACATTTGGTTTCGTGTGGTACAGTTTGTAACAAATAATGAAGACCTGCAGGTAATTAATTTGTTACAAGAAATCCATTGTATCTTGTTTGGGCATTCTGAAGTTGCTTTAGAGTTTCTTTGATGTATCAGCCTTACGCAGCATCAAAAGTAAGAGAATATATGGACAAGATTGCGATACATGAAACAATGGTGAAGGTTTGTATGCCCTTATTTCTTAGAATAAGCTCTATATATTGCATAATGCTGGTAACGTGTGATTCTTATGATTCAGAAATATGATTTTGGTTTCTTATATGTATTTGTCATTTTCTTAGTGCCAGCTAAATTACAAAGTGCAGTTACTACATTTCAAAATTTGAAACGATTCTATACCAGTTAAATTCTATGCGAGTTACAGAGTTAAGAGTGAGTTCTATTGCACTACATTTATCAGGTCAGTGCTTATATTTTGGGGGAGTTTGGTCACCTTCTTGCTAGACGACCTGGATGTAGTGCAAGAGAGCTCTTTGGCATTTTACATGAGAAGCTTCCCACAGTATCGTAAGAAAACATAATTAATGCATGGTGCTCTCTCTCCTCTTTTGGTAGCTTTTATTTGCTATACCTCAGGCACCCTTGTCTTTTCTCAGGACTCCAACCATTCCTCTACTTCTCTCGACATATGCAAAGCTTCTTATGCACGCTCAACCTCCAGATATAGAATTGCAAAAGCAGATTTGGACTGTATTTAAGAAGTGAGAGTCGCTTTCCATATTATTCATCCCAGTAGTTTTACTTGTCATGTTATGCTCTGCTTTTGTTTAGGTAACCAAATCAAATTTCTTAGTAGGGTTTTCTGTTGGCAGATACGAGAGTAGTATTGATGTGGAGATACAACAGCGAGCAGTTGAATATTTTGAATTGAGTAAAAAAGGGGCTGCCTTGATGGATGTATTGGCTGAGATGCCGAAATTCCCAGAGCGCCAGGTTTGGTCACTTATTTCTTGTGTTTTTAAGCAGTTTATCTGTAATTTTGTTGGAAGTTTTCAGTGCTGGAAGATGTGATGTTGGAAATTTCCGTGTCTTTCCATAGTCTTCATTGATAAAAAAGGTGGAAGATGTTGAAGATAGTGCAGACCAGAGTGCGATCAAGCTTAGAGCACAACAGCTACCTTCAAATGCTTTGGTTTTGGCTGACCCCCAACCTGTAAATGGGACACCCCCGCCTCTGAAGGTTCCAAGCATAAGTGGAATCAAAGTGGGTATTTCCCCCCTTTGGATGGATCCCCAAAAACGAGACATTTTCATACTTTATCCAATTATCTTCTGACGTCCCCTTTATCTTTGTGTATCTAGCTGGATCACGAGTCAGCATCCCAGGCTCAATCTCAGCCAAATGGCAATTTGAGTTCACAAATTCCATCAGCAGATCTCCTTGGCGACCTCGTCGATCCTCTGGCAATAGAGGCTCCGCCGGGAGATATCTCGAGTCAACAACGTGGTCTCACAGAGGAGGAAGGAATTCTAGATGAAGTTGATGGCACAGCCATCGTACCTGTTGGTGAACAAACAAACACAGTGGAGGTATTCTTCTTGTCTTTCCTTTACTCTCTCTTGCATTTTAGGCTTAACATTGATGAAATGCTATTCTAAACAACTCGAGCTAATTATTTCTTACTTGTTTTTTTTGCTTTCCTAAACAGCCGATTGGAAATATCGCCGAAAGATTTCATGCTTTGTGTTTGAAAGATAGTGGTGTCTTATATGAGGATCCTTATATTCAGGTTTGATTTCTCCTTTGGTCACCTCCTTTCTCTTTATATATGCTCATCTGTGTAACAGATGGCAGATACCTCTTTTCTTTTTTGGGCTACTTTGAATGGGGAAGATCACAATGCACAAGTCACTAACCCTATTCATTAATCATTGCAATGATGTTGGTCCTGTCTCAGATTGGTGTGAAAGCTGAATGGCGAGGACACCATGGAAGACTTGTCCTCTTCTTGGGAAACAAAAATACTTCTGCTCTTGCATCTGTTAAAGCTCTAATACTACCCCCTGCGCATTTAAAACTGGAACTGTCTCTAGTACCTGATACCATTCCTCCTCGAGCACAGGTACTTCTATATTTGTAATGTGATCTTAATGTCGGTACCAAAATTGTCAATTTTCTTACGTTATGGTTTCTCATCCTTATAGGTACAATGTCCACTCGAAGTGATGAACATCCGTCCTAGCAGGGATGTTGCGGTTTTGGATTTCTCTTACAAGTTTGGTACAAGCATGGTAATTACTGCACCGTTCCATAAGATACAGACTTCTTATGCAAATCTCCCTGACTTCTTGTCTCTCTTATAGGTCAGTGCTAAATTACGCCTCCCGGCAGTCTTGAATAAGTTTCTTCAACCTCTACAATTGACATCTGAAGAGTTCTTCCCGCAATGGAGATCACTTTCAGGACCACCATTGAAACTTCAAGAAGTTGTATGTTCCTGCAATGAAATGCATACATACACAAGTCAATTCAAAATACCCTGATAATGTCTTTCTGTTATATCGATTGCCTCATTAAATGAATCTGCCATTTCCTGCAGGTTAGAGGTGTAAGACCTCTTGCTCTTCCAGAAATGGAAAATCTGTTCAATAGTTTCCGGGTGACGATATGCCCCGGGCTCGTAAGTGTTCTATATAATCTCACTTCTTCACGGATCATCCTTGCATACATATGCTTACTTTGATATATTATAATTACTCTGTGGTTCTGTTATAGGATCCGAACCCTAATAATTTAGTGGCAAGCACAACCTTCTACTCCGAAAATACAAGAGCCATGCTCTGTTTGGTGAGCCTTACTATCTTTTTCTGAAATTCCAAGCTGAGTGGTAGATACCTTAAATAATGCTGCAAATCCGAATTTGTTAAAAATACTTAACGTCAGGGGTAAACTATATGCATTGGTGGTAGAACTTAGCCATCTCAATATGTTTGCATTTTATACATTTTTCAGGCAAGGATTGAAACAGACCCAGCGGACAGGACCCAACTGCGGTTGACAGTAGCCTCAGGAGATCCTACCCTTACATTTGAGTATGCCACTAGCAAAGACCCGAAACTTGTTAAAATACACGACTCTTCCATTGCATGATTTTTGCCTGACTTACCTTGTCTACAGGTTGAAGGAATTCATCAAAGAACAAATAATCGCCATTCCATTGGGCTCTCGAGCCCTGGTTCCAGCGGTGCCAGGACCGGCAGCACCTTTAGCTCAACCACCTAGCCCCGCGGTGGATGCTAATGATCCCGGAGCTCTGTTAGCGGGCTTACTTTGATTCAACCGGGTAAGACAACACTTACAATTATACAATGTGAAAATCCTCTTTGATATGGAGTAGCACTGGGTAAAAAGACAGAAAGTATCAGAGGATGTGAGAGGGCATGTCGAGGCGAAGTAAAGTGAAATTTAGTTTTGATCTTCTAATTTATGCTTGAGTGAGTAGGGAGTGAGCTTGGTCTGAAATTTTGCATTCTTTATGCACATTTTGTATTGTCATGTCTTTGGGGTGTGTATCAGCGTTCTTTCTGTCTCAATGATCTTTCCTAGGGGTTTGTGTTTCTTCTCCTTTCGTTAGTTTCTCCTTCTCCAGTTCTTGAGTTCGATACCGATAACATACATACATGTAGAGCATGTGGGGTTATACTAATAATATTTATAAGATTTGAGTTTGTAAACTTTGCTAAAAAACCAAACAAGTAATAATAATCCTATTCGAGGAGGCTTCTTCTTTAACTTGAGACCAAAGAAATTCACCATAAATACCAAAAAAGTTCCAATATGAACAATAATGAAGCGAAGACAAAGGACCGAAACCAATAATAACGTTAAGAAAACACGTATCCATCCATCTATTTACCAAAAAGACAAAAGAGAGAATGAGCACAAAACCCAAAAGGGGTTTACAAAGCTCATCTGCCATAAATCAGCCAACCAAAGGAAAAAAAAAAAACAAAGAATGTGGTTAAAGTCAATTTGGGTCAAGGCTCACGGCACTGACCACAGTTCCAGGGCCCATATCCAGTCACAGACGATGGTTCCTCCTCCCATGGAGAACAGTGAGAGTGTATTAGCAATCCACAAACTGTGCACAAAAGATCAGGTCTTGGCTCCATTTGCAAACATCTCTGACATGGACCCATCTCGTCTTCTCCTTCTTCTGTTGCTTCCACTAACTTCGCATCACCATTTACCTCGTACTGACCACCACTAGTAGTATCATCGGCCGACAGTAACTCGGTCAGTGAGAAATAGGTCTGCGGTTCAAATTCCATGTCCTCGTAGTCGAATAATAGCTCACCAGACGTATCCCATTCTGTGACAACAGGCAAAGACTCTTCTTGCTCGGCTTCATGTTTCACAAAAGGCTGTGGGTCGATACAGGAGTCTTCTCGTTTCGCTTGTCTTCTAACTGGCAGCTTCTGCGGTCCAGGCGCAGAAGCAACCGTGTCCCAACCAAGATCCATATTAGTGGGTGTGATTTCTTCAACTTTGGAAACCGAGACCAGGAGAGGATCATCATCTGGGAAAAATGCGTCTTCTGGGGGATATAAAGGAGTTGCAGGCAAGGGAGTAGAAGGTTTCGAGTCTTTTTGTTCGGACATTCTTTCAGAATCAGAATCCAACCCGGAATTCCCTTGCCTTTGTTTCTGGTTCTTGAAGACTATTCTTTTGATCTGCTTTTGTTCCTTGAGTTTAGGATCCATATAAGGGCAATCAGGTGATCGTATACGACGACATTTGCAACACTTGAACCCAACCACTTCAGGAATTTGTGAATCCTCAAGCTTAAGAGCGTCAGTGTGAAACCACTCTGCATTTAAGATTCAGATATCAGATAAGAAAACACTGGAGACATTTAAGAAATTTACACTTACGAAACAAATGTAATTGGGTGAATAATCTCCTTACTTTCGCATTTTGTACAGTAGATATACGTCAAACCAGGATTGTACGGCTGTTGGCAGATCCCACAAACCGGTTCCAGGCTGGGTTTATCTGACCTTCCAGCCAACAAAATGTATTGATTCCTGAAATCAACACCTGTGTCCTCCAAGTTTTTTTTCCTCCATATGACTCCACAGGACAATGTCTTCTGTTTACTCTTGGATGCCACATTAGAATCAGGTGTGATTTGTTTGACTCCCGAAGTCTTCTCCTGCGTTTTCTGAGACGGTAGTTGTTGACTAGGAGGCTTAATCTTGATTACTGGAGTGACTGCATTTGCATGTCGTCCATTGATCATGAGCTGGGGTGAGGTCGTCTGTTTGTGACTGATATTAGTTGGAGAACGAGTTCTTGCGAGGTAGCAACGTTTGCAGGTGACCAGAACTTCAACTTTTCCATTTGTGTGCTGTGACTTCCAAGTGCACTCATTGTGACAAAATCCTGAAAAGAACCAAAACATGAGACTCCATGCTGAAGCACAAACCAGCTCATATAGGAAACTCTACAACAGTAATTTTACAATCCGAAGCAATCTTCAGGTATTCTTGAACTAAAGATTGCTTGGGACCGTAATCTTTAGTTCTATCACAGCATCTCATTATTCTTGATCTAAACTCTATTTCAGGTATAGCGAAATTTCTTCTTGAACTAAAGAAACAGTCGTCAGGTTAGCAAATGAGATGTTGTGATAGAACAAGATAACGCAGGGCTGATTTCCAAATCCATTTGGTGAGTCAGATACCAGCAACTTGCATCTTTTGACCCAGAAGAGCTCCCAGAGAATAATTATACTTTCTAGTTATAAAAAAAAAAATGCAAAAATTGAAATAGAAAGAGGGTGGTATTGTACCTTGGCAAACACTGCATGTTGTTGTATCCCTGGTGACATGTATAGAATGGGAAGAAAAAAATCAATGAGGTACACAATAAAGTAAAACAAGCCCCTCAAAAGGTAAAGACAACAAAAGATTTACCGCAATAGAACATCATGATGACATGAGGCACACAAACATATCTCCATGTTGTCCCTCCTTGACGCTATATATGAAAATATGTCCATGCGGGAAGCTTTCAGCTGCTTTCTCTGCAGCTTTGAAAATTTCTTTAATAACTTCCTTGTTGAAGGCATTTGTACTCTATGCAAACTCTCTTCAAATTCTTTGATCAAGTATAAGGGAACACGTGCTTCCTGAAACCAATACTTTTCATTTCCATCTTGGGCTTTCTCGACCTCAACTACATTCTTCATGACGCGTGATGGCAGATGCTTTTGATTTCCAAAGAAAACTCCGTAGCTGACCTTGTCATCACTAATCTTTTTGTCACATATACGAGCGTTTCTGAAAACGTTGGCATCTGACTCTGAGCCTTTGACATCCTGGAGATTTTGCTCTGGCCGTACAAGTTCACTCCACCTTATATTCATATCCAGATATCTTACCTGGCCCCAAGGTTTGATTGGATCTCAGAAACACAACAAATAAACCTATATGAACTAACAACTGAAATCCTAGAACATAGACACAAACCTGAAGAGCGAGCTGAGATATGTTCTTGCTACTATCAACTGCAGCTTTCCAAATAAACCGTCTGCTTCTCTTAGGGATGTAAGAAGTATCACCATAACTAAATCCAGATATCTTTTTAGAACCGCCTAATAAGCAACAAAAATAAAAAATTAGTGTATTTCGTGGCATGAAGTAGGATTTCTACTGTAGCAGCATCAACAAGGAAATCAAAAAGCCAAATAAACTCTCCATATGCTTATGAGTGATGAAAATAGGTAAAATTAGCAGCACAAAAGACAAACACATAAGTATACCTTGCCAAGCTGCTTTCCTTACTGCTGACTGTGACAAAACTGCTTTCAATAGTATAACTTTTGATAACTTTCCCCCTCGCCACCAAGTAAAGCTATCATCGTCGCAACCTTCAGCTGAAACTTCAGCCTGGTTCCTTTGTCTCCTCCTACCAGGTCCACGTTTCTGTGTAACCCCAACAGTAACAGGACCACTTTGGAACATAGAAAGTTCTATCAACCAATCATCCATCAGTTTAAACCAATCACTTGACAGAGCAATACTGCAAATATTTTCCTCAAGCTGCAACCAAGATTTAAAAAAAAACACATTGCGGGATTGAGAACATGCTAGATCAGATGTGACAACAGAACAAATACCATTAGCATATCACACTAAGTGTAGACTATCAAATTTAATCCAGAGGGAAATAGACCAAGCGTGTTCCAATGTTCTAAGAAAAAAAAAGAAGCATACAGATTGAAAGAAACTATAAAAGTATCAACCAAGAAAATTATTATAAAGATGAAGAACTACTCACTTCAAGTAGGAGTGCTTTTAGATCTTTGCTTGTTGAGGCTTCCTCTACCTGCTTACGCCACTGTTTTCTAAGAGTTTCACTAAGAAATGGGCCAGCAATCAGACCACGCAAGCTTTCCTCCAGATATAGAGCATATGCTGAAATACTTGAAAGCACTCCCTCCCCATTCTTTAGAGGAAAAAGGCCACTGAAGATCTTCATAGCACCTTTTGTGGCACCCGTTACAGCTGCATTTAACATGCACCCTCTCCTGCTTGCAGATGTTAGTTTGCAAGAATGACACCAACCACATCTTTCCCTTGTAATGTCCTTCTTATCAGGACTTGGCCAGAAGAAACGTGAGGCTACTAATGAAAATGCTTTCATCTGCACTAAGATGTTACTTGACGCAGCTTTCCTGGGATTACTGTACTTGCGAAGATCAGGTTCATGGGTTTCTTCTGAAGTTAAGACAGCCAAAGTGGCAGCTGCCGATACAGCCAATTCCCCATTTGTGTAATGATTATTGTATGCTTGGGGTTTAAACGATAAACCCAAGTATGTAACACCAGCAGCCATTTTCTTCTCCTGCGTTCCACTTGAACCTCTTATAACAGCATTATGCGTATCATTCCTACTGGAAAAGTTTGCACTATCGGACTTGTTCATTTCTGAAACCTTGCCATCCTCTTTATCATTTGCTTGAGCTAAACCAATCTCCCCTTCTCTCAAGGAAATTATACCATCAGGAAGATCCCAGTATTGGGCGATCGCTTTGCAAATATCCAGATATTCTAGTGTATGGTTTGATGCAGATAAAAGCACTAGTACAACTTTTGATACGTCATTGACATTGTAGTACTTGACAACTCCATCTCCATTGACAGCTATGTTAAGCCTGTGATTTAAAATGAAATGTTAAAACCCAGAAAGTTGTAGTACAACTTTTGATACGTCATTGACATTGTAGTACTTGAGAACGCTCATCAGTGTCACAGCAAGAAAGTTCAAGCAATTTAAGTGTTCCAGTTTAATGCTGACTAAAAAATGGTTGCAAATATATGTCTACGAGCTAGTCAATCTCAACCAACCAACGCTTCACATGGGTTATATGTAGCAGGTGCATATAATCGAAAGAGTCATCTCTAAATCCAATAACTGCAAAAAGAATATATATGAATTAAGGCATCGAAAACATACACCAGTAAGTGATTGCAAGTACCCAAGAAGAGTCGTCCATGAGGATCCATTCCAAACTGTACAGCTCCTCTAAGTGAAGTTCCATGAGCAATCTTTGGCCCCGTTTTGTCAATAGTGCACTCTGGACAAAACCATGGCCCGTCTGGTATATACATTTTGACCACACCAATGCATCTTGAGTGATATGCTAAAGGACATCCATCGCAACAAAGCAACGTCCCATCCATTCCACATATCCTACATTCATCGCTGTTTCCATCCAGATCTGAGCCCAAAGGTTCAGAATCGTTTGTTAAGCTTATCCCCTGTTTTATTGGGACCATATCAATAACCCCTTTCTCCTTGCAAGCTGAGGTTTTAGAGAATCTGGGGTGGACCCGTCTAGGTCCATTTTCAGGAAGATTAGTGACAATTCTATCAGGATCAAATCCAATTTCAGATTCTTCGCGGGCATCTATTTCGCTTCTTAGATCTGCTACATCAAAGATGTCATCACAGAGAATTTGCAGGATCTTCAATTTCATCCCAATGGGTAAGGAATAATACTCCATTTCCACAAGAAATTTGTAAGAAAAATTCCACTGAGACCCACTTGCATGCCCCATTGCAGCAAAGTACTGAACCAAATAAACAGGCCAAGTTAGCACATCGAGCAAGCTCCAATCAATGCACCTGCAGATGGCAAAGCAACAAATTCTGTGAAATGCTATCAACTAAAGAGGTGGGACATCCGACAATAAGCTCTTTCAACCATTTGCACTGGCAGAAGAGACTAACTTTGCAGGCCCTTTATATCCACCGCCAATAAAATTTCGTTCTAACAGCTATAAAAGATTTGTGTGACTAAGCATTACTAAATGATAAACACGATTCTTGAGCTTGAGGTGAAATAACTTATTCGAGTTCACCTTCAATAACGCTATGCAAATACCTAGGTTCGTTGTAGTTCAGATACCCAACCCAGTGGCCTAAATTTTCTATTTCGTAAGATGTTTGAAACACTATGAACTAGATAAAGCTCAAGAGATGAGAACATTAGCCTATGAACATCCTGAAATAACAAAATTCTAATACACAAACATCTCTTGAATACCGTAGATGGTAATGCACTTACTTCAAGCATTTTGAAGCCAGGTCAGACCCGTCTGAGGAGAGTGTCTCAAGATGAACCTTCAATGCCCGCATCAAGGCCACATGAACAGCATCCAACAGAGAATTTGGTCCTGAGAATTTCAACGCTCCCACGAAATCATCCAGTTCAAATGGGCAGATATATAGCTGAAAACTGAATGACCTTAAGAACCCGTAAACAGATAAGAGATGTACCACAGCATCCTCTGGGATACCAATTGTTCCTGATGAAGGAGGTAATTCCACTGGTAGAACAAGAGGAGCCTCAGTTTCAAAATCTGAACCTCTCTTATCTTCACAATCAGATGAATCTGAATCACAAAATGAATCACCATCTTCAACTTCCGCCTCAGATGCGGGTGCATGGACTCCATTTACTTGATTTGGGGGCACAACCTCTTTGTTATCCGGGTAATTTATTTTCCTTTTCTCCTCCTTCTTCACTATGAGTTTATCTAGTTTAACCCTTCTAACGCATAGTTCATCGTCCAAGTAACTATCCCCAATAATTAAACGACGAAGATCAGCACTTTCCATGTCCTCGCAATCACCATCCTCGTATTCCACTCTGTACAAGCCAGTCTCATAGGACACTATCTTCCCTAGAAAAGCTCCATTGTCATCAAAGTCTTTAAGCACATAACGACCAAGCAAGGATACTGGCACTGCCGGTTCCACCTCCAAAACCTGCTTCTTCCCTCGATTGTTCAATTTTCGATTATCATCCTCTACTTTCTGGCGTTTCCTCGGTCTGCCCCTAGGTCTAGGAACCTTTGCTTCCATCAAAAAAAAAAACCTAAACTAGATCCTAATCAATTTCCTAAACGTCACTCCCCTTCCAAACAGCCCCTGTGAATATTCGAACCGCAAAGGCCAAAAATCATAGCCGAATCAAAGATCCACGAGAATCCTGCAAACAGAACCGTTGCGAAGCCCTGGCAAAGCAACGAAACAACTCAAAATCCGTGGCGATTTTGCTCCACCATGTGATAGATTTCGATACAGAGCTTGCTAGAATCCGATAACCGCCATTAACGATGAACTTGGAGAGAAAAGATGAGCCCTAATCGTGTCGAGAAAGATAAACGACACGATGATGGGTATGTGATTTTACGGAGCGAGTTCGACTCGGTAATCGGGTTATTGGGCCGTGACCCGTTGGATATCCGTTTATATTTTACCGTC